ATATATGTTAGGTTGGTGATATATATATATATATATATATATATTGAAGAAAAAGGAAAAATTAAAAGCAGTAAGATATAGGATAAGAATTAATTCCACTATAATAAATGTGTGTTGTTGGGGTTTGGCTTGATTCATGACTTTAGTGAACTCAAATTTGGGATAATCGAATTCAATTAGGTACATTATTATTTTTTTTTTGGCACATCTGATAATGATGGGGTATATAAAAGGGAATAGCTTTTTATTTTTAAAATTCCTCCCCACCAATGCAAGATTTGAACTTGAGATCAAAATAGTCAATACCGTACTGACATACGTATCGATTTTGCTACTAAAATAATACATACTGGATATTGAAATTTGTTACGTACCGTTTCAGATTTATCACTATAAATATATATTTTTATAAATTAAATATCAAATTTTAAAATGATGATAAAAAACTAATATTTAATATTATCATATTCACATAAATTGAAAACAAATTGACCAACTTTATAAAACATCCATAATTTTTTTCTTTTTATTTGAACATTAAGATAATATTAAGAAGTATAATAGTGTTTTGGATTTAATGTTATACAATTCATAATACAAAATACTTCCACAAGAGAAGGAATTGTGTTTTTTAAATATAATAAGAATGCAAAAAACAAACCAAAACATTATTGAGAAAAGAGAGCAGCAACCCGTGAGCACTAAGAATTAGAAGTCTGAATCTAAAATTGTTGAAAGGGACTAAAAATACACATTTTTAGTCTCTCAACTTTTAATATATGCATATTTTTTGTCCCTCCATTTTAAGTCAAGAGACTAAAAAAGTACATATTTAGACAAACTTAATGAAATAACTGACAGAAGGACTAAAAAATGCATTTTTCATAGTTGATGGACTAAAAAAGTGCATAAAAAGTTAAAGGATGAAAATTATGCAAAACATTAAAATTAAGGACCAAAAATGACATTTACCCCTTTTAAATTTGAATTAATTTGTATTGGCCAATTTTTGGTGTATGGTCGATATGTAAAATATCAGCAGTTAGTATACCAAAATTTGATCAAAATGGATGAAATTTGATCAAAAAGGAATTGAACTTTGTACTGTTTCAAATTAATGAAAAAATCGATATATATTAATTATACTGATTGATACGAAGTGGAATCAACTTTTTTACTTGAGATTTTCAATTTAAAATATCAAAATTTTAATCTATGAGCAACCTTAAAAGGTATTAGGTACGGTATTGAGTTGAGATTGAGCTTTTTGATATTCAGTTCAAACTAGGCTTGAATTGTGTAAACAAGCTTGGTCGATCTCCAAATTTTATAATTTAAAATGTATTATTTGAAGTAAATTTTCAATGTAATATCCTTGATTGCAAGTTCACTTATCCAGTAATAATTTTTTTTGAAAATAAAATATTTTGAATTTAAATGATATGCATGCAGAATGAGTGGGCACAAAAATATGATATAATTGATTGCCTTGTATATCCCAAAATAAATAATAATAATAATAATAATAATAATAATAATAATAATAGTAATAGTAAAATCAGTAATATGCTTGAACTGTGTTAGATGTTAGATTTTGAGTAGTAATGGATATATGGCAAATCGGTAGGATTACCTTTGGCTGGCTAGCTAGTTTTTTATGTTGACATTCAATCCTCGACAATTTAATATCAAAAGAGACTCATTAATAACACTTGAGCCTGGCGGCTCAACAACTTTGACTCAGGTTGAAATGTGCATTCCTCAATCTTTGGACTGAGATTCAAATTCTTTGTTCCTAAATATAAATCCGTTTAAAAGATAAAAAAGACTCATTAATAATTTTTCAACTCCGAAGAGTTAGATTTATTAAAAATAAATGTTGCCAAGTAGTACATAATTTGACTTTTGGGGTCAGCATCCATTTTCCTTTAAATCACCATGCCAATATAAGGTGCAATTTTAAGATTTTCGAAAATATAATAATCTTAAAATGCACAAAATTAATTTGAAGACATCCGGACCTAAAATATTATAATAATAATAATAATAATAATGATTTTTTTAATTTGTGTTTTTAAAGTACAAATTAAAGGTGTAATTAATACATCTTTTATCTATTAGTTCATGAGTAAAGGTCCAAATAAGGACTTGAACTTTGTAAGTTTTTCTATTTAAGGATGTAAACTTTACCAGTTTCTAATTAAGGCGGTTAACTTTCAATTTTTTCTAATTAAGGATGTCAACTTTGAGTTTTTTCTATTTAAGGATTAATTGATGGAGATGCTGACGTGGCAAACGAATTTTAAACGGATGTTTTAAACGGAATGCTGATGTGTTTTGCTGACCAAAACAAAAAATTAATTAAGAAAAAAAAATCAGATCAGTGGGCCTCATTTATTCAAACAAATTTTTATTTACAAAAAGAAAACAAATCAGATCTGGTTGTGTTTCCTCTCGAAATTGCTCATCTCTCTTTTTTTTTTTTTTCTACGCTGCTGCTCTCTCTTCTTCTTCAGCATGAACGGAAAACAAATCTCATGGGTTTGGAGACAAAAATGTCAAGCTTCAGTTCATCCTTTGCACACTTGAGTGGTAGATCCGGTCGATTCTTATGGCGAAAGCTGTTTGTGACTACGGGGTTTGGGTTTCAATTAAGGTGTCTTCAAGCTTTGATAATCCTTGGAGAAGATACATGGCTTGCCCTTTTTTGATAAATGGTAAAATAAATGTTTAATTTTCCATTGGTGGGTTGTTTTCTCAACTTTTTGCATCTGGGATTTGTAATGGATTTTTCTCGATTTTTCTCCCTTTTTTGCTTCTGGGTTTGACAAAAAGTTCCTACTCTTATCTGTTTTTTGTTTTTTTTTGGTGCCAATTTGATGTGCAGTTGAATGAGCAGTAGCGTAGAAAAAACAAAAAAAAGAGAGATGAGCAATTTCGAGAGGAAACACAACCAGATCTGATTTGTTTTCTTTTTGTAAATAGAAAATTTGTTTGAATAAATGAGGCCCATTGATCTGGTTTTTTGTTCTTAATTAATTTTTTGTTCCGGTCAACAAAACACATAAGCAAATTAAAAATATACTTATACACATCAGCATTTCGTCTAAAACATCCGTTTAAAATTCGTTTGCCACGTCAGCATCTCCATCAATTAATCCTTAAATAGAAAAAACTCAAAGTTGACATCCTTAATTAGAAAAAATTGAAAGTTAACTGCCTTATTTAGAAATTGGTAAAGTTTACATCCTTAAATAGAAAAACTTACAAAGTTCAAGTCCTTATTTAGACCTTTACTCATTAGTTCATAGAGAAAAACAAAAAAGTTGATATTAGTTTTAGCATTAATGTCACGTGTCTTAATTTAATTGGTTAATTGTTAAAATTAAAACCAAGCTTTATTTTTTTATGTAATTTAATGACAAACAAAAGACATTAATTACTTACTTAACATGTGAGAAAAACCCTAATAATAATAATAAGGGTTAATCTATCCTGTGCACTTAGGGCACAGGATGAGGAACATTAATTAGATAATGATTATCACCTTTTGTCTTGAAAATGATAAAATTAATTTTTTATTTTAGTTATAAATGTCATGTGTGAGATTTTGATTGGTTAATTTTAAATTAAAATTTTGAAGTTATTTTTAATATAAAATTTTACATTTTTCAAGAAAAAAATTATAATTATTGCTTAGTAATAACTTTTTATAGGGCACAGGATGGACAAACCCTGATAATAATTTCCGAGACACTCAAATAAAGATACAACACTTATGACTTATTTGTTTTGAAAGAATGAAAAAAAATTATTATAACTAATCAAATACTTAATTTAATTAGTCAAAATAAAAACATTTTCTCTCCCTTCCTCACCAATCTTGCAGAATACTCAAATCCACCTTCAAAATACAGTGGCAGGGACGAATCCACTCATGAATAAAAAATGAGGACAAATCCATTTATAAAATTTTGGACTTGGACAAATCACCTTACTTTTAACGTGTGACGTCATTTAACATTAGCAATCTGTTAAGTCGTTAATGGATTACTAATGTCAGATGACGTCATACGTTAAATTTGAGGTAATTTATTCAAATTAAAAACTATGTAGATGAATTTATTTTCGTTTTTTGTTCGAGAGTGGATATGTTTTTACAACTATATTGTGGGGTCGATTTGAGTATTTTATCCACCAATCTCCTCCTTTTTCCCTTTATTCCCTCATGCCAATTACACACGATTAGTCTATTTGGTCCCTTTCCTCCTTTTCCCCACTGTTTCCTTCAAACAAATTAACACAATATTAGTGTCTATTTGGTAGAGGAAAGGGAAGACGGGATTTTTTTTTTATTTGGATAAAAAATAATAGAGAAGAGAGGAGGAGCTTTTTCAGTTTTCTTCAATTTTCTTTGTATATTTTAGTATATCCAAGGAGTAGTGACGTAGCGAATGAAAATTAGGGGATGAGAATTTGGGATTACCATGTTATGTTGTTGTTCTTTTTTTTTTTTCTTTTTCTTTTTTTTTTTTAAGTAAGTTGATATGAAACAATTTTTTGTATAATTTTTATATATAACTTTAATATATTATTAAATAAATAGATATATATAATATTATGAGTTTTAGTAGAATAAAAATAGCTATTTATTAAATAATATGAGATGAGAAAAAGAAAAATTAAGAGGTTTTAACATTAAAAATGTTAGAATGTTCAATCATTATCATTAAATATGTGAAGTATAATATGGGC